GAGACGGGGTTTCACCGTGTTAGCCAGGATGGTCTCGATCTCCTGACCTCGTGATCCACCCGTCTCGGCCTCCCAAAGTGCTGGGATTACAGGCTTGAGGAATTTTTGTATTTTTAATAGAGACAGGGTTTCACCATATTGGCCAGGCTGGTATCGAACTTCTGACCTCAAGTGATCCGCCTGCTTCGGCCTCCCAAAGTGCCAGATTACCGGTGTGAGCCACCGTGCCTGGCCTGGGCCTGCCTTAGACCCTTCATCTGTAGAATGGATGTGTCAGAGGATTGTGAGGTTTAAATAAGTTAATCCAAAGTGCTTTGTACTAGTTCTTGCTCATGGCCAGTGCTGAACAAAGGCTGATCTTGTTCTTACCGTGCTAGGAAACTGCCGAGTCTCTCAGCCTTGTGGATTTGTGTTCTTAACCACCACGCTCCACTGACCACCTGTTCCCCAACTCCGGGTGTCTCACCTTGGCTGGGGCTCTTGGAGCCTCCCAGGCCTTGGTCTGAGAGCTGTGCTGTGCCTCTCAGGCTCTGCCTACCTGGCTCTTCAAGCTCTGGATCTCTTTCTGTTTGGCATCGATGTCTTCATCCAGAACCTGACACTTCTGTGAGATCTCCCTCTCATTCTGCCTGGAGGGGGTGGTCTCCGACAGCTTCTGACTCAGCTCAGCCACTTCCTTCTGCAGGTTTGCTATTATGACGTCTTTGTATTTGGATTCAATCTCATAATCTGAGAGACGGCTGACCTCTTTTCCCAGCAGCAGAATTATTTCATCCTGGGTAGAGATCAGATGGCAAGCTTACTAGGTGTGGGCCTAGGTGTGAGGCTGAGCCCATTTAAAAAGAAAAAAAGGTAGAGGCCAGGTGCGGTGGCTCGCGCCTGTAATACCAGCACTTTGGGAGGCCAAGGCGGGTGGATCGCCTGAGGTCAGGAGTTCAAGACCAGCCTGGCCAACATGGTGAAACCCTGTCGCTACTGAAAATAAAAAAATTAGCTGGGTGTGGTGGTGAGTGCCTGTAATCCCAGCTACTTGGGAGGCTGAGACAGGAGAATCGCTTGAACCCAGGAGGCAGAGGTTGCAGTGGGCCAAGACCATGCCATTGTGCTCTAGCCTGGGCAATAAGAGTGAAACTCTGACTCAAAAAAAAGGTAGGAAAATTATAGTGTAATTCTTTTGGGAAAGTAGGGGCAGGCAGGCAGGGGAAAGGCAGACTTTGAGGCTCTCTCTGTCACTTGGAAACTCAGAGAGATGATAGTGTGGTGAAAACGACTGCTTGCACATAGACTCCTACAATGCATGTGGATACCATAGGGGGACAGAAACTTTCCTTTCCCCTAAAATTATACTTTCATATTAAGAACCACCATCCCTCTTGGGAATTTTTGTTGCCAAAAAGTTTACTTATAATATTTTTAGGAATTAACTTACCAGGCCTCAGTCTAACATCTGGGGACCAAGGAAAGGTAATTAAGGAAATGACTCTATTCAACCACATTCTGACTATAATGGGGCTATTTAACTTTACAAATTTAATACATTCTGAAATAGCTTTTCCCCTTTCCTCTCTTCTGTTATTCCCTGGCTCTTTTGGTTATTCACATAAAAACGTATTCCAGGTAACTGAGTCATGAAAAATAAATGAGAGGGGAATGGTGATTTATGTATGTAGGTTCTTGTAAACTTCAGGCTGGAAAAAACTCTGGGCTTGGCAGGCTGTACCCACAGGTCTCATTAACCCAGTCTCCCATCTCTCCAAAAGAAAAAACGCTGTAGCCGAAGAATTGGTTAGGCTTCCCGAAAAAGGGGGAAAAAGTCCCTCAAACTTCTCGCCAGAACTCATCAATAAAATATCAGGAAGACTGACAACAAAAATTCCCCGACGTGATTCATAGGCAGCTACAGAGTTCCTGATCAGTTACTTTGAGAGGAAACTCTGCTCTCCATGCAATTTTCCACTGGTTGGGAGGAGGCGGGTGGGCAGTTTCCAGGTCAGCGCATTGCCTGGGGAGCTCGACCTTCTAGCTTGCTAACCTGGGGCACCACCGGGTTTTGGTCATGATGGAGCCCGACTGCTGCCCAGGGTCTGTCCTTGGGTCCCTGTGAGTGCTTGTGGCAACATTTCAAAGGACAGCCTCAAACAGAGTCCATGCTCTGGGGCAGCCCCTTGCCTCATCCAATATGAGTTACCCAAGGGCTCCATTTCCAGCCAGGTGTTTGTTCAATATCCACACAACAAACATGTATTGAGCATCTACTGTGTGCCATGCGTGTGCTGGGCGCTGAAGTATAGAGAAGCCTGCAGCTTACGGTGCACAGCTACGGTTCCTGCCTTTCTGGTGAGGACCCTGTGACTTCCCTGAGGGAGCACCCCTGACCCTTCCACGTGGTCTTGGCAGGAGGGTCAGTTATGTGCCCTGATCCTTCCTGTCCCGCCTGGCGTTGTGCATGTGACCCAGGCTGGTCAGTTGGCACTTTCTCAGAGATTTCATGTATTACTTAAAAGAGGAAGAAGCTCTTCCTTCCTTTGAGATCATAATCTTTAGAGATTTCAGTTTGTCTACAGTCATGTTTTCCAACAAAAGAAGCCAGCCTGCTGCAGAAAGCAGAACTATGAGGGAAGCAGTGGAGAAACTGATAGCGGGGAGCACCCTGATCATTTAAGCTCCTAGATCCAGTCATGCCTGAAGCTGGTTGGCTTTTATATTTTCCAATAAAGTAAGACAATAAAAAATGTTTTTAGTTTCTATTTTTCTTTTTCTTTTTTTGTTTTGAGACAGGGTCTTGCTCTGTCACCCAAACTGGAGCACAGTGGTGCAATCACAGCTCATTGCAGCCTTGATCCCCTGGGCTCAAGTGATTCTCCCACCTCAGCCTCCCTAGTAGCTGGGACTATAGGCAAGTTCCACTATGTGTGGCAAATTTTTTTTTTTTTTTTTTTTGCAGAGATGGAGTCTTACTATGTTCCCTAGGCTGGGTGTGAACTCCTGGCCTCAGGTGATCCTCCTGCTTGGCCTCCCAAAGTACTGGGATTACAGACGTGAGCCATTGAGCCCAGCCTATTTTTTCTTAAACCAATTTGTTTGTTGTCACTTGCACTTGAAGGAGTCCTGACAAGTCAGGGCATAAATACTTCATAAATAGTAAAAATTTAGAAATGTGGTTGCATCCTATTTCCAGCTTAACAACTGTGGTGGATTAAAAATGGCTACAAATAACTTTGCAGCTTCTGCCATCAAGCAGTGGAGTCTATTTCCCCGGCCCCTAAATCTAGGCTGGCCCTGTGATCTGCTTTGACCAAGAGAAAGTGATAGACATGATGTTGGGTAGTCTCTAAGCAATTTCTTAAGAGGCTGTACAGCTTCTGTCCTGGACCTCTGGAAACCCAGAGACCACTGTACTGCTATGAAGAAGCCCAGGATGAAAAGCCACATGCAGAGAGGGCTCACAATTCCATTAGTGGTGATTTTTAATGGTGAGATTTTGGTGCATCTATCGCCCGAGTGGTATACACTGCATCATATTTGTAGACTTTGATCCCTCACCCTCCTCCCACTCTTCCCCCCAAATCCCCAAAGTCCACTGCATCATCCTTATGCCTTTGTGTCCTCATAGCTTAGCTCCCACATATCAGTGAGAACATACGATGTTTGGTTTTCCATTCCTGAGTTACTTCACTTAGAACAATAGTCTCCAATCTCATCCAGGTCACTGCAAATGCTGTTAATTCATTCCTTTTTATGGCTGCGTAGTATTCCATTGAATATATATACCACAGTTTCTTTACCCACTTGTTGATGGATGGGCATTTGGATTGGTTCCGTGATTTTGCAATTGTGAACTGTGCTGCTATAAATATGTGTGTGCAAGTATCTTTTTCAAATAATGACTGTTTTTCCTCTGAGTAGATACTCAGTAGTGGAATTTCCAGGTCAAATGGTGGTTCTGCTTTTAGTTCTTTAAGGCATCTCCATGCTGTTTTCCATAGTGGCTGTACTAGTTCACTCATGTAACCAAATACCACCTGTACCCCAATAACTTAAGGAAAAATTAAAAAAAGAAAACTAATAAAAACTCTATAAAAACTTCAAAAAAAAATAAATCTGTGGGAAGAAACTAAAAAAAACAATAACAAACAAAAAAAAACTACTTCCAGGTGTCCCAACTGAGGTCCCAGACATGGGAATGAGGCCTTCTGAGACCATCAGTCCCTGCCACGCCACTGGCTGGCTGCGGCTGCATGAGTGAGGCAGAAGACACCAGCAGGAGAATCTTCCAAGGCGACCCATAGAATTGTGGGAAATAAATTGCTGTTTCAAGCCACCAAGTTTTGGGCTTGCTTGTTTACAGCAATGGGTAACTGACAGAGCATCCAAACCTGACTTCCCACCTTACTCACCATTGCTGCAGATTCCTGGAAATGTCACTCCCACGTGTGACAAGAGCTCCAGGTGGTTCTGCTCCTTACAGACTCTGAGAATTGCTGCAGGCTCAGGCCCTGATCTTCAGGGGAAGCATAGCATTGTTGGACTACTGCTTTTAGTATTAGGTTGGTGTAAAAGTAGTCGATTATAATATAACTTTCAGGTTGTGGCTAAGTGAGGCGAAATCAGCCTGGATCCATCCTTCCCAGGTATGCTTACATTCATCTGTTCTGACCTGTCTTCCTGCCTCACTCTCTAAACCTCTCTGGTTCTTTAACAAGTCTTTCTCATTTGCTCAGTCATCTCTGACCTCAGCTCTCACTTCCTCCTACTAGGGAAGTTAACCAGACCTGGGTGTGAATCCCAGTTCTGCCCCTTGTACTGTGTAACCTTGGGCAAGTTACTTAACCTCTCTGAGCTCCAGTTTCCTCCTTGTTAAGTGAGGGTGATCAAAAACCTATTTTGAAGACAGCAAAGATTAAACGAGCGAATGAATGTTAAGCGCATGGGATGCAGTCCAGCTCACAGTAGATGCTTCATAAACATTGGTTGCGGAGGTCATCATTAGAATAAAACATCTGGTTGAATGTCTTAGGGAATAAGAGGTGGTTTCTTGGAAGCAGGATAAGGGCACTTCTGGGCCACAGAGAAGAACAGGCATCAGCAAGTCCCTCTGCAGTGTGATTGCTGCTGCAGCTCCACCCTTCCCCAGACGCCTCCCTCACCTTGTCCTGCTGGGCCAAGTCCTCCTCCACATAAATCTCCGCGGGGGGAACTGCCCCAGGAATCCCCTCGGCCAGTGGTTTTCCCGACAGTTTCACGGCATTGGTCCACACTAAGGCGTGAGATCAGCAGAGAGCAGAAAAGACATCATGAGTTTCCCTGAGGCCTGAAGAAGATGTTCACATTAGCCTTCCTGTTTGTCTCCCCCCAGACATAGACATTTTATGTAATTTAAAAATTACAGGCCGGGCGTGGTGGCTCACACCTGTAATCCTGGCACTTTGGGAGGCCAAGGTGGGCGGATCACGTGGTCAGGAGATGGAGACCATCCTGGCTAATACAGTGAAACCCTGTCTCTACTAAAAATAGAAAAAATTAGCCGGGCGTGGTGGCGGGCACCTATAGTCCCAGCTACTCTGGAGGCTGAGGCAGGAGAATGGCGTGAACCCGGGAGGTGGAGCTTGCAGTGAGCCAAGATCGTGCCACTGCACTCCAGCCTGCGCGACAGAGCAAGACTCTGTCTCAAAAAAAAAAAAAAAAATTACAAAGTGGTGTGTGTGTTCACTGAAAAGCAGTGAAAGCATCACGGAAGTACCAGCAAGAGAAAGGGCCACCTCCTTCCTGCTTCCTGTGCTAACTGTGCTGTTACCTAACATGATGTGTCTTTTTCCAGACCTTTTTCCTATGCCACAGAACAGCGGGTGATCTTGGGCAGATCATTTAATCTCCTGGGCAGGTCATTTAATACCTTTTAGCCTTAGTTTCCACACATATCATTGAGGGGCATGAATAGTCTGTATCATAAAGGGCAACTGTGAGGAGTAAATGAAACATTAGGTAGAGCAGGGACTGGCCAACTACAGCCCTGGGGCTGAATCCAGCCCACTGCCTATGACTGAAAGTACAGTTTTATTGGAATGTGGCCACAGTTACTCATGTATGTATCATCTATGGCTGCTTTTGTGCCACAAATACAGAGAGTGGAGTAGTTGCGACACAGACTGTATGGCCCTCAAAGCCTTATTTATATCTGCTTCTGTGATACTGGGACTTATAACAAGGAAGTAGATACAGCTGGCCCTCCGTATGTGTGGGTTCCATATTTGTGGAGTCAACCAACTGTGGATTGAAAATATATATGTGTGTGTGTGTGTATATATGTGTGTGTGTGTGTGTGTATATATATATATAGAGAGAGAGAGAGAGACAGACAGACAGACAGACAGGGTCTTGCTCTGTCACCCAGTCTAGAGTGCAGTAGCATGATCACAGGTCACTGCAGCCTTGATCTCCTGGGCTCAACTGATCTTCCCACCTCAGGCTCCCAAGTAGTCGGGACTACAGGTACATGCATGCTACCGTGCTTGGCTAATTTTTAATTTTGTTGTAGAGACAGGAACTTGCTATGTTATCCAGGCTGGTCTCAAACCTCTAAGCTTAAGTGATCCTCCTGTCTCAGCCTCCCAAAGCGCTGGGATTACAGATGGGAGCCACTATGTCTGACCAAAAACACTTCTTAAAAACCCAATAAAAAATAACGATACAACAATAAAAATACCGCATAACAACTAGCGACATGGCATTCATATCATATTTTGTAAGTGAGGGAACCAAAGTACAGGGACGCCAAGTACTTGCTAAAGGTCCCACAGCTGGTGAGTGATAGAGTCAAGATTTGAACCCAGGTTTGTCTGATCCAGAGCCTGTATTCATAACCATTATGCAGTAAATGTATTGACCTTCATGATATAGTGTTACGTTTCAAAAAGTAGGATACCAGTGTTAGGGTCAAACAATCCCATTATTATTCCATTACTTACAGTATATACAAATCAGGATGGTATCTTTAAAAATCACCCCATGCCTTTCCATTCTCCATTCTAATTCTTCCTCCCTCACCTGTATGAGCTTTGCCATTAAGATTCGGCCTTGGAGCTGCGGCCTTACTGCCTGTTGGAGGAGAAGGGCAAGCACCACCAAGACAGGGTCCCTTGACCAGGGCGATTCTGCCCCTCAGGTGACATTTGGTAACATCTGGGGACAATTTTGAGCATCACAGCTTGAGTGGGGGAGATCTGCTGAGAGCATCGAGTGGGTAGAAGCCAGGGATGCTGCTAAACACTCAACAATGCACAGGCTGGGCCAGGCCTGGTGGCTCATGCCTGTAATCACAGCACAATGGGAGGCCGAGGCGGGCAGATCACTTGAGGACAGGAGTTCGAGACCAGCCTGGCCAACATGGCGAAACTCCATTTCCACTAAAAATACAAAAATGAGCCAGGCGTGGTGGCGGGCGCCTGAATCCTAGCTACTTGGGAGGCTGAGGCAGGAGAAATCGTTTGAACCCGGAGGTAGAGGTTGCAGCGAGCCAAGATTGCACCACTGCACTCCAGCCTGGGTTACAGAGCAAGCCTTTGCCTCAAAACAACGCCCTATGACAAACAATTATCTGGCCCCAAACGTCAGCAGTGCCAAGATTGAGAAACCCTGACCGAGAACAAATACGTCCTTGGCTTTGTGTTTCCAAACAGAATTTTTCAAATCTAAAGCAAGGCAATGGTCTAAAAGCAAAACAATTTTGTTTGAAGAGTCCAGCTTTGTTAAGAGAGGAAAGAGCTTCCTCAGATTCCTCAAAAATGGGTGCCTTCCATGAAGAGCCAACCTGGAGTCCTGGCGTCAGCAGTGTTCTCCTAAGCATGGAGTAGAGGGGCCCGGGTCTGACATGGGGGATCTCTTCTCTACAGGAAGCTGAAAGGCCCTCTCCACATCAGGGGAATGCGGTGGAAGTTTGGGAGCGGACACGATGCCTTGCCAACCCAGATGACACCCCAGTGGGAGGCTGTAGAGGAGAAACCCAGGTAGATGAGGGCCTCAAAGCCTTGGGACCGCTCATGGCTCATTCACTTCCCAAGTTCAACACGGCACTGGAGAAACAGGTGGAGAAATCTACTCATCAACAACTGAGTGTAAAAAGAAAGAAACAGGCCGGGCACGGTGGCTCAAGCCTGTAATCCCAGCACTTTGGGAGGCCGAGACGGGCGGATCACGAGGTCAGGAGATCGAGACCATCCTGGCTACTATGGTGAAACCCCGTCTCTACTAAAAAAATACAAAAAAAAAACTAGCCGGGCGAGGTGGCGGGTGCCTGTAGTCCCAGCTACTTGGGAGGCTGAGGCAGGAGAATGGCGTAAACCCGGGAGGTGGTGCTTGCGGTGAGCTGAGATCTGGCCACTGCACTCCAGCCTGGGCGACACAGCGAGACTTCGTCTCAAAAAAAAATAAAAAAATAAAAAAAAATTAAAAAACGGCACCTGTGTCCACCAATGAAGAATGGATAAAGAGAAATCTGTGATACGTTCATGGAATGTGACTCAATGATAACAAGGAACAACTTTTTTTTTTTTTTTTTTTTGAGATAGAGTCTCACTCTGTCGCCCAGGCTGGAGTGCAGTGGCACAATCTCGGCTTACTGCAACCTACTGCAACCTCTGATTAGGTGTCCTAATCACCTCCAACCTCTGGGTTCAAGCGATTCTCCTGTCTCAGCCTCCTGAGTAGCTGGCATTACAGGTGTGCACCACCACGCCCAGCTAATTTTTGTATTTTTAGTAAAGATGGGGTTTCACCATGTTGGTCAGGCTGGTCTCAAACTCCTGACCTCGTGATCTGCCCTCCTCGGCCTCCCAAAGTGCTGGGGTTACAGGTGTGAGCCACCGTGCCCGGCCACAAGGAACAACTTGTAAGACATACAGCAAAATGGATGAATCTCAGAAATATGCAGAGTGAAAAAAGCCTCACGTGAAAACATACACTACATGATTCCATGTATTTGAGAATCTCGAACAGGAATCTCTAATCCATGGTGGAAAAAGAATTGGAAGAGTGGTTACTTCTGGGGGAAGGGGTTGGGAAGTGACTTGGAAGGGACCTGAGGGAGCTTCCTGGGGTGATGGTGATGTTCTTGACAGGGGGTTGGGTTACACAGGTGTATACAATTGTCAAAACGTAGTAAGTGTTCACTCAAGATCTGTGCATTTCATTGAGTGGCAGCCAGTCTCCAAGACGGCTCTGGTGATTCTTGTCCCTGTATTCATGCCCCTATATAGTCATCTCCAATGCTGGGTGAAGCTTGTATTAATATGCTCAGGTTGCCATGACAAAACACCACAGGCTAGGGGGCTCAATAACAGGAATTAACTTTCCTTTATTAAACTTTTAATTCTTTCTTTTAAAAATAGAGATAGGGTCTTGCTATGTGTTCCCAGCTGGCCTTGAACTCCTAGCCTCAAGGGATTCTCCTGCGTCGGCCTCCCAAACTGCTGGGATTACAGGGGTGAGCCACTGCACCTGGCTGAAATTTATTTTCTCAAGTTTTAGAGGTTGCAAGATCCAGGTGTTGGCCAGGTGGTTTCTCCCGAGGCCTCTCTCCTTGGCTTGCAGACGGCCACCATCTCATTATGTCCTCACATGGTCTTTCTTCTGGTGTCGCTGGTGTCCTAATCGCCTCCTCTCACAAGGACAGCAGTCAGATTGGATTAGGGCCCATCCTAACGACCTCATTTTAACTTAATTACCTCTTTAAAGGTGGATGGATCACTTGAGGTCAGGAGTTCGAGACCAGCCTGGCCAACACGGTGAAACCCCATCTCTACTAAAAACACAAAAATTAGCTACGTGTGGTGGTGGGTGCCTGTAATCCCAGCTACTCAGGAGGCTGAGACAGGAGAATCACTTGAACCTGGGAGGCAGAGGTTTCAGTGAGTCGAGATCGTGCCACTGTACTCCAGCCTGGGTGACTGAGTGAGACTCAGTTTCAAAAAGAAAGAAAAAAGAAAGGAAAAGAAGGAAGAAAGAAAGGCACTCTTTAAACACAGGTTCTGTGGTACTGGGGATTAGGGCTTCAACATATGAATTCTGAGAGAACACAATTCAGCCATAACAGAGCTTATCCAAGTAACCAAGGCTACTGGAGAAATGATGGAGTTTGACTCCTGAGGCTGGATCTTAAGACACACGTGGCTGCTGCTTTTCTCTCTAGTCTAGGACCACTCTTTTGGAGGAAGCTGGCAGCCATTTCATGAGGAGACTCAAGCAGCCTAGGAAAGGTGGCAGTGGTGAAGAACTGAGGCTTCCTGCTGTCAGCTAGTGAGGAACGGAGGCCTCTTCCCACACGGATGTGAGTGAACTACCCAGGAGATGTGTCCTCCAGCCCTAGGCAGGCCTTCAGAGGACCGCAGCTTTCGTCAAAAGCTTCATGCAACCTCCTGAGAGTCCCTGAACCACACCATCCTGCTAAGCTACTCCCAAATGCCTGACCTGCAGAAACTGTATAAGATAATGCATAGGGTTTTGGTTTGTTTTAGGGCGCTATGTGTTAGGGTAATTGGTTATAAATTGGTAACTAATACACACTGTATGTTAATTTTACACAAAAAGACAAAAACTGTTGAACTCTAGTTAATGGTACACATGCTAAATGTTTAGGGCGAAGTCTACAGCTGTAGGAAACTTATTTTTAAACGCATCCAAAATTAAGATTGATTAATGAATTAACAGAATGACTGATAGACAGATAGATATATAATAAAAGTATAGCAAAATGGGCCAGGCGTGGTTGACTCACGCCTGTAATCCCAGCACTTTGGGAGACCGAGGTGGGTGGATCACTTGAGGTCAGGAGTTGAGATCAGCCTGGCCAACACGGCAAAACCTCCTCTCTACTAAAAATACAAAAATTAGCTGGGCATGGTGATTTGTGCCTGTAATCCCAGCTACTAGGGAGGCTGAGGCAGGAGAATCACTTGAACCCAGGAGGCGGAGATCATGCCATTGCACTCCAGCCTGGGAGACAGAGCAAGACTCTGTCTCAAAAAAAAAAACAAAAAGAGTATAGTAAAATGTTAATGGTAAATATAGGTGGGGATGGGGGTCACTGTAAAATTCTTTTTACTTTGCTGTATGTTTAAAAAATGTTCGTATTAAGGCCGGGTGCGGTGGCTCACATCTGTAATCCCAGCACTTTGGGAGGCCAAGGCAGGCGGATCACAAGGTTGGGAGATCAAGACCATCCTGGCTAACATGGTGAAACCCCATCTCTACTTAAAAAATAAAAATAAAAATAAAAATTAGCCAAGCATGGTGGTGGGCACCTATAATTCCAGCTACTTGGGAGGCTGAGGCAGGAGAATCACTTGAACCCAGGAGGTGGAGATCGCGACACTGCACTCCAGCCCGGGTGACAGAGCAAGACTCTGTCTTTTAAAAAAAAAAAAAAAAAAAAAAAAAAAAATTAGCCAAGCATGGTGGTAGGCACCTGTAGTCCCAGCCACTTGGGAGGCTGAGGCAGGAGAATGGCATGAACCCGGGAGGTGGAGCTTGCAGTGAGCCGAGATCACACCACTGCACTCCAGCCTGGGCAACAGAGCGAGACTCCATCTCGAAAAAAAAAAAAAAAAAGTTCATATTAAAATGTTGGGGGAAAATGGCTGAGTCATTTTTCGATGTGGGTGGTAGGTATGTAGCGGTGCATTTGATGATGATGATGACGTAAACCGTGGACACACATTGCCTTTTCTCTTCAGCTTGCATGTGTCACAATAATAATTATTATTTTAGTGACTGAGGAAGGTGACTACATGAATGGTCTTGAGCAAGACGGGGGAAAGATATGGAAGCTGCTGGGAGATACCTGGGGACTCAGAAGGGCCTGGGGCTGGGACAAAGAGGACAGAGAGTGGGACCTTGATGCCAGAGGCTAGGGAGGAACTCCGGGAACCATGCCTGGGGACTAAACTGACCAGCTCTTCTGCCGGTGAGTCTGCTGAGGCCAAGAGGACAGTGACAGGTGGCAAGTTTCCTTCCCAAGTGCCATGAGGCTTTCAAGGGGGTAGTGGGGAAGGAAGGACACCCCGGAGGTTGTATGTGTCCCAGAGTGACCGGGCTGTGAGTGGGCTGTCACCAAGCTCCCCAGCCTTAAATGGGACTGAAAAATGTTAGACTAGATGGGACTGAATATATCTCCTCGGGAGAAGTCATTTTCCTTGATAAGCGTCAGTCTCCTCTGACCTGTAAAATGGTGGTAAAATATTTTAAAACCTCCTAGGGCTGTTTGGGGCAAAGGGGATTGCAATGACTAATATTTTTGCACATCTAAGTCAAAGTGTGTTGACGCAGATCCTGTGACACACTCATATGTACACACGCACAGAGGCCACACCCACTGCAGGTGCCCTGGTGTGTGTATACGGACACAGCACAGAGGCTGGAGGGATACACAGCAGAGAGTCAACAGGGAGACCCTGGGGATAAGGATTACGGCTGATTTTTAACTGTTTTCTTACTTTCTGCTTATCCTGAATTTATTTTTATTTTTTACAATTGAACATGTTCTACTTTTAGAATCAGAAAGTAAACCAAACCCAAGACCCATCCACATGGCTGTGAACCACCCCCAAGCCACCGATGGCAGCCCCGACGCATACCTTGCTTGATGACAGGGGGCTTGCGGGCGTCCTCCACCACGAACGAGAACATCTCCTTGCTGGCGCTCACAGGCCTCCGGTGGGAGCCCGGCAGGACCACAGTGGGTCTGGGGAAGCCCTGGGACCAGCTCCTTTGCACCGGTGCTGGCTGGATGCCTTGGTGGAAGGGGATATGTGGCGGCGGGGGGGCCTGGTTCGGCTGCTGTGTGGCACGAGGTGGCTGTGGCCCTGGCCATGGTGCTGGGCCCCTCATCCATGGGTAGGAGACCTGCAGGGGCACACAAGGGTCAGGGGAGGTTATGACCGGCGGGGACGGTCTCCATTTCTTTGTCCCAGCCACAGCATTGCTGCCCAAGGTCTTGGTTTATGAGTCACTTCCGGTCAGGCATGGTGGCACACAACTGTAATCCCAACACTTTGGGAGGCCAAAGTGGGAGGCTAGCTAGCTTGAGTTCAGGAGTTCAAGACCAGCCTGGGCAACATGGCAAAACCCTGCTTCAGCAAAAAATACAAAACTTAGCTGGGCCTTGTGGCTTATGCCTGTAGTCCCAGTTACTTGAGAGGCTGAGGTGGGAGGATCACCTGAGCCCAGGAAATAGAGACTGCAGTGAGCTGTGATAGCACCACTGCACTCCATTGTGGGTGATGGAATGAGGCTCTGTCTCAAAAATAAACAAAAACACAATGAGTCACTTCCCCCAGGAAACCTTCCTGGACTCTCCTCAAGTTTGGGATGGGGGTCCTTGCCTGGGCCACATGGCACACGATCTCACCACCATTGAGTGGGCACGTCCTTTACCCAGGCGCCCTGCCGAAAGAGTCACCTGCATTAACTCATTTAATACACTCAAGACTCCGCGATGTCAACACTCGGAGGACACAGGCCGGGCAAGACCAAGGGACTCCCAACACCATAGATGGGGTATTGAGCTGCTGAGCCAGGAGAATGTCCCCTCTAAGGGATTAGGGACTTTTCATCTACTTTTCTTACCACTGTATCCTCAGCCCCTAGAATAAATGCTTGGCACATACCTAGTAGGTCCTCAGATGTTGGTCAAAATAACAGAACAAGCCAATCACTGAGATTCCAGCCCAGCTCCCTGGGACTCCACAGCCTTTTCTCTTTCTGTCCACACTGCGGGTCCCTCTGTCCCTCAAAGTTCAGAACTCTGGGATTGCAGGGATGCTGGCTGTCTGATTAGCCTTTGCTTTTCCACACCAGCACACCTGATTCTGGCAGAGGCCCCAGGAAAGACGTTACAGCTACTTTCAGCAGAGAGCATGTCAAAATCCATCTAACCATGGATGAACAAATGTGGAGTGGTGCTGACACCTGGCTTTTGCCGTGGACTAATGCTTAAGTGGTGGTTTCTCCCTGGTGTCTAGGGGTTGAATGGTGGCAACGGTGAGCACTATCACTTATTGCACTGAGCTTACTGATTCCTCACCATGACCCTTTGTGTGAGGGTTCTCTTTACTTCTATGTTAGAAGTGAGGCTTGCAGAGGTTAAGGGATTTACCCAGCACAGGCGGTGGTGGACAGGGAAATGGGATCAAGATCTGATGGCCTGTCTCTCTCCTCTCCTCTCCCCTCCCCTCCCCTCTCCTCCCCTCTCCTCCATGTCTCCCCTCTCCTCCCCTCCCCTCCCCTCTGTCTTCCAATTCTCTTGGCAGAAATAATGCTTTCCAGGTAAAAGCTAAATTCAAAGGTTTGCTTCCTAGGCAGGAGCTCAGGGTTCTCCTTCTGTACCCAGAGAGAAGATGAGCTCAGACACACACGAGGAAAAGGACAGAATGCTTCCAAAATCAGCGCTCCAGCAGACAGCACTTCCTAGAACTTCAGCTGAGTTTTATTCAAGAGGAGGGCTCTCCACTCACTCAGGATCCTAATCTCCAAGCTGCAGTCTATCTACAGCTGCTCAGAGATCCTATGCATTCCCCCCAAGGCTCTTTCTTGGAGTCAGTGAGGAGTGTTTTGGGAAATCTGGCACCAAACTCTGATCACCTGGTGATGTATGGTTTGGCTGTGCTCCACCCAAATCTCATCTTGAACTGCAGTTCCCAGAATCCCCTTAGGAGGGACTGGGAGGGACCTGGTGGGAGGTAATGGAATCATGGGGAAAGTTTCCTCCATGCTGCCTTCATGATAGTGAGTGACTTCTTGTGAGATCTGATGGTTTTATAATGGGCTTTCCTCACCCCCTTGCTCTGCACTTCTCCTTGCTGCTGCCATGTGAGGAAGGACATGTTTGCGTCCCCTTCTGCCATGATTGTAAGTTTCCTGAGGCCTCCCCAGCCCTGGGGAACTGTGAGTCAATTAAACCTCTTTCCTTTATAAATTACACAGTCTCTGGTATGTCCTTATAACAGTGTGAGAAGGGACTAATACATCTGGGGACACCTGGCCAGGCATTCATAATGACACTGGCCCACTTAAAATCTGTTTCCAGGAGTGGGTCTGGGCAGAGTTCCAGAACTCTGTTACCTCACGTGTAGTTTCCCGTTTCTCTCCACTGTCAACATCTCAGCCTCTCCACCTACCCTCTCTTCTGTTCTTTGGTTTCAGAAGCTGAGTCACTGTGCCCCGGCCCTGGGCTGACTTCTCCATCGATCATGTCCCTCCCCATCCTCAGGGCTGTCTTGCCTCACTCATTCCCATGACCTTTTCCTATGGGTTTAATAAGTACTCATTGAATGAATGGGCTGAAGGTGAAAGCGGGCAAACTCCAATGCATTTTACTCCAGCCTTCTGGAACACAAATGTAGACATTATTGGTTGTGGTGGAGGAATCCACTTTCATGCTAGGACATTCGGTGGGTGGGGTTCTAAGGTAAGGGTGCCTCATGCCAACTAGCTGCACAGGTGCTAATGGAAGTAAGCGTGTCTCCTGCCTCAAGGGCAACGATTCTGCAGTGGCCAGGCCAAAACCCACTCAGCATCTTTTGGAGATTGTGGGTAAATCTCCCTCCCTCTCTCGGCCCATTGTTGTGGGTGGGGCTAAGCAACAAATCACATTCACTGACCATAGTGATTGGCCGGGGTGGGGCATGCGATCCAATCAGAGCCAAGGAGATGAGGCTTGACACCAGAATCTCTAGCCACAGAGACCCGGGGACTTGAGAATGTAGCCAACACCACGAGATGCAGCCCAGACGTGGAGAGAGGGATGCTGGTTTTCTTTTCTCCATTTTTTTTTGAAATAGGGTCTCACTCTGTCATCCAGGCTGGAGTTCAGTGGCACAATCACAGCTCACTACAGCCTAACCTTCCGGGCTCAGGTGATCCTCCTGCCTCAGCCTCCCAAGTATCTTGGACTACAGACGCAGGCCACGAGGCCCAGCTAAATTTTGTATTTTTTGTAGAGACGGCGTTTCACCATGTTGTTCAGGCTAGTCACAAATTCCTGGGCTGAAGTGATCCTCCTGCCTCAGCCACCCAAAGTGCTGGGATTACAGGCATGAGCCCCGACACCTGGTCTGTTTTTGTTTAACTGTAAAAAAATACATAACAAAATTTTCCATCTTAACCATTTTAGGTGTACAATTCAGTACTTTTAAGTATAGTCTAACTGCTGTGAAACAGATTTCCAGAACTTTTTCATCTTGCAAAAGTGAAAATACATCCTCATTAAATAACTCTCCCTTCCCCTCTCTTCAGAGCCCCTGGTAACCACCATTCCCCTTCTATTTCTATGAATTTAAATACTCTCTGTCCCTCATATAAGTGGATTCATACAACATTTGTCCTTTTGTGACTGGTTTATTTCACTTAGCACAATGTCCTAAGGATTCATCCATGTTGTAGCATGTGTCAGAATGTCCTTCCTTTTCATGGCTGAATAATATTCCACTGCATGACATCACATTTTATTTATCCATTCATCTGTCCATGGACACTTGGGCTGCATCCACCTCTAGGCTATTGTGCATAATGAACAAATAGAGAAGCTGGTTTTGAGCCCTGGCTTGTGTTGCACTCTGCACTAACTGCTCAGTACTGTGCGGCTAGTTTGAGCTGGTTTTGTCACTTGAAGCCCCCACGGTGCTAATGAGAGGGTCACTAAAGGGGCCAGTGCATGATGTGTAAATGCAGCAAAGACTGCAATCAGCTCTTTCAGTTAAAAAAAAATGTTTCTTTGTTTGTTTATTTATTTATTTATTTATTGAGACGGAGTTTCACTCTTGTCACCCAGGCTGCAGTGCAGTGGCGTGATCTTGGCTCACTGCAACCTCTGCCTCCTGGGTTCCAGCAATTCTCCTGCCTCAGCCTCTCAAGTAGCTGGCATTATAGGCATGTGCCACCACGCCCAGCTAATTTTTTTGTATTTTTAGTAGATACAGGCTTTCACCATGTTGGCCAGGCTGGTCTTCAACTCCTGACCTCAGATGATCCACCCACCTCGGCCTCCCAAAGTGCTGGGATTACAGGCATGAGCCACCGCACCCGGCCTTGTTTATTTGTTTTTTGAAAGCATGTTGATTTAAGGTGGCTTTAGTTGGAAGGTTAATGTCGGTCTTCTCTACTTAACAGGCCTACTCTATTATAAGCAAGGTCAAGGTTTTCTCAGAAATTGCTGCTGGTAACTACAAGGAAACAGTGAGGGGATAAACAAACCAAACAAAAAGACTCCTGAAAAACTGGCTCCTGGCCGAGCTCGCATTGGAATGTACATGAAGCTTGGGGTCAAGGTCAGTGATCAACAAGTCTGATTTAGAAATATTAGTTTAAACATACTTGCTAGTGCCTTCTTTCTTTCATTCTCTTTCCTTCTTTCCTCCTCTTTCTTTCCCTCTGACCATATGGTATATGGCATGGTGGTTTTTTCTGTTTATTTTTGAGGCAGCGTGTGCTCTTCCTGATCTCTCCCACACTGTCTAAAATAGCAGGTTGCAAACCACCTGGACCACACCCATGGCTGAATTTCTATCAGCTTGAACAAACACCCAGCCAATAACGTACTTGAGAACTCCAAATCCATTGTTTCTGGATGATCTCCTTGTTTCTTGTGTTATCACACTAACATCTGCTTCTGACCCTGCCAAGGCTTCAGGGTGAGAAGGACGCCCTAAAATACCAAGAGAGTTTGTCCAGAGTCCCACAGGACGCAAACATTCTTCCAGAAAGCCCTGGACGCTGTGGACAAGGCGGGGAAGTAGACCTTGCCCTTGGAGCGTCTGTCATGTTCTTTGCTGTCTGCAGTTCTTATCACTTGGCTTTGAACCACCAAGGAGAGAAGGCTCCAGGTGTTAGGCTGTGCTATGCCCTTC